GACTTGGGAGGCAGAGACAGGCAGATCGCTATGAGTTCAAGGCCAGCCGGGTCTACATAGTGAGTTCCCGGGTAGCTGGTGCTTACAGGGAGACACTGCTTCAAAAAGACCCAAAAGAAAAATTTACCATAGATGATAGACAGATAGATTTAGATGGATTAGAGAGAGAGAGAGAGAGATGGATTAGATAGAGAGAGAGGTAGAATAGGTATATAGGTAGGAGGTAGGTAGTTGATGGATTCTAGACACAAAGATACTAAGTAGACAGATGACAGATGAGAGACAAATATTTGGTACATTAAAAGGTAGGTAGGTGACACAGAGAATTAAGGTTTCATGACAGAATATCATGGACAGACCGAGTTAGGAGCAGATCTTCATCCATGGCCACACAGGTGCTAGGCCTCTCTTCCTGCAATCTGGCATCTTCCTGTGTCCTTGCACGACTGTGTCTTGCATGACTGTCCCTGGTGCAGCCCTCCCTCTGGTCCCCACCCTTTCCACCTCTTAGAGTGACTTCTGCCTTGTCATTAGATGAGGGACACATCAAGGACCACATTCTGTCCTTGTCGGTCATCTCTATTGAGTTCCTAATCTCGAACTACATCACACTAGTGGTAAGTCAGGTCTTAATCCAAGAATACGGGGTAGAGTCAATTCTCACCCCCACCCAAGTGTCCCTGCCCAGCCCAGGGGTCCCTCTGATGTCCTCTGTCCTAGTCCTTTCATTACCATAGCTGGTACCCTTTTATGAAGTCACAGAACTCTGACCTCATTGTAATCAGGCCCCAAGAAGGTCGTCCAGGCCCTCAGGTTCGTCCACTCCTGGTGGATTCTTGCTCCCAGCCAACCTGGATGTCAGAGCTGCTTTAGGGGAGTGGGCAGATGTTTGTTTCAGAGACACTCATCTGGGAGCCACGTGATGTCCAGTGCTCTTTGTCCTGGGAGGGATCTTCATCCCTGGGAGGAGGAGCATAGAAGGTGATGCTCCTACCTTATGTGAAGTGTCCGAGGCTCAAATACTGCATTACACTTCCTCTGCTCATTATTCCATCAGGGATTTCTCATCACTATGCTTATAGGGGCCCACGTCCTGCAGGAAAGAGATTTAAGCATGAGAGAGATTGAAGACTGACTTCCTGCCCTTCCCCACACCACGATTAAATCCCACAGTTGAGTGTGATGTGGTTCTGTACAAGTTTGCTTGGCTAGCATTGTAGAATGTTGCGTTTCATCACCAAGATATCGTTAATGGAGACAGAGTGAAAGATGGTTATTTAGATCTGTAGGTAGATAGAAAATAATGAGCAGCTAGTGGATGATGTACATTGATGATGGTTTTGTGGAGATATATTAGGTAAATGGATAGATCGATAGATAGATAGATAGAAGATAGGATAGGAGATAGATAGATCAATTGTAGATGGATAGATACTGGATGATACACATTGATGCTAGTTAGGTAGAGAGATGATAGATAATGATGCTGGTTAGGTGCAGAGATGATAGATCAAAAGATGTAGATGAGCCAGGCGTGGTGGCGCACAGCTGTAGTCCCAGGACTTGGGAGGCAGAGACAGGCGGATCTCTATGAGTTCAAGGCCAGCCGGGTCTACATAGTGAGTTCCCGGGTAGCTGGTGCTTACAGGGAGACACTGCTTCAAAAAGACCCAAAAGAAAAATCTACCATAGATGATAGACAGATAGATTTAGATGGATGAGAGAGAGAGAGAGAGAGAGAGAGAGAGAGAGAGATGGATTAGATAGAGAGGTAGAATAGGTATATAAGTAGGAGGTAGGTAGTTGATGGATTCTAGACACAAAGATACTAAGTAGACAGAATAGAG